ACATTTTCCACTCGTGACTGTTCCTCTTCCCCTTCTGGTACCCCTATTATTCGGATGTTGGAACGTTTAAAGATGCCCTGGAGGTTCCTAAGCCTCTCCTCATTTTTTTGAATTCTTGTTTCTTCATCCTTTTCTGTTTGGTCATTTTTTTCCTCTTTCTGGTCCACTCCCTTGATTTGAGTCCCAGTTTCCTTTCCATCCCTATTGGTTTCCTGTGCATTTCCCTTCATTTCAATTAGTTTAGCCATCACATGTTCCTCTAATTTGCGACTAAAATCAACCAGTTCTGTGAGCATCCTGATCACCAGTGTTTTGAACTATGCATCTGATAGTTTGGCTATTTCTTGGTTGCTTAGAATTTTTGGCTCTGGGGCTTTGAGTTTTTGGTCTGTTGACGCCTATTATGAATGAGGAGCGGAGCCTCAGGTGTTCACCAGGGTGGGGCCACCCAGGCCGCTAGGTTGTGATGCTATATGTGGGGTGGAGTCAGAGCAGGGAAATAGTGGTCCCCTCTGCTGCTTCCCGCCACTGGGGCCTGCACGATTTGTCTCACTACTCACTCCTTTGCTGGTTTATCTGCACGAGAATGTGTGACTGCAGTCAGCCTGCCACCTTTCGACCTCAATGGGTCTGCCCATTGCTACCACACACCTGGGATCTGCCAAGTGCTGCCCACGCACCTGGGTCAGTCTGACCGAGTTTTCCTGTGCAACTCCGCTCCGCCAGTCGCTGGCTCCACCCCTCTTACCGGTCTGGCTGAAGGGTTCGTTGTTGTCAGACTTCAGTATAGTTCAATTTCCTGTGTTTTGGTTGCATTTTTGTTACTAAAACTTTGTTGTCTTTAAACTTGGTTGTGCTCGGAGGCACAGTGTTTCCACCCACACCTCCATCTTGGCTGGAAGTTCCAAGATTTTGTAATTTTTTTTTTAGGAATTTGTGATCTGCCTTGGTGTGGTTTTCTTTATGTTTATTCTGCTTGGGGTTCATTAAGCATCTTGGATCTGTAAATTGTAGTTTTCACAAATATGAAAATGTCTCAGCTATTACTTCTCCACATATTTTTTCTGCCCATCTGCATCTCCAAAATATGTGGTATGTTAGACTGCTTGATATTATTTTATAGGTACTCTGTTCTTTTTTTTAGTCTTTTTAACCTATTATTTAATTTTGGATAATTTCTGTTGTTAAGTTTCATAATCTTTTCTTTTGCAGTGTCTTATCTTCAGTTGAGTGCATCCGGTATACTTTTCATCGAAGACATTATATTTGCCATTGTTAGGAGTTCAATTTATATATATATATATATTCACTTCTTTCCTCACCTTGCTTCTACATTTTTGAATATGTGGGGTAGATTCAATTGGTGCTCCCATTATCTCATTTCTGGGTCTGTTTTTTTTAATGATTTTTCTCTTGCGCATGTGTCTTATTTTCCTGTTTCCTTCAGGCCTAGTAATTTTTGAATAGGTACAAGACATAAATTTTAAGTGTGTCATGGATACTAGATTATATTGTATTCTTTTAGTTTTAGGCTTTATTGTTCTTAGGCTTTAAGGCACAGATGGCAAACACAAGGCCCCTGGGCCAAATCTGGCCCTCCCCCTTATTTTATCCTGCCCGGCACCTTGTTTCTACCTGGTGGCAGCTCTGAGCTCTCACTTAACTGTTAGTTACATTTATACAGTCTTAAAATTACATTCAGCCCTTTCAAGGCAACCATTCAACCTTTTGGCCCATTCAAAGCTGATGTGGCCCCCGGTGAAAATGAGTTTGACGCCCCGGCTTTAAGGTAAATCCAAGGTGGCACTTAATTTAAGATAATATAATCCTACTACTAAGGCAATACCTTTTGAGGACTCTACCCAGTGGTCCATGCGTTACAAGATCTTTGCACTCTAGCTTGTGGGAATGTAGACTTCCATGTCTTGTGAGACCTCTGGGCATTATTCAGCTTATTGCTCTTTGGCTTTCTCTTTCAGCTTTCTTCTCCAGCTTCAGTAGTCTCTTCTCACTGGACAGAGATCAGGACTCGGGAAAATACTCAAAGTGCCCCCCGTGTAGGTCTCTGAAGCACTCTTTCTCTCCCTGTGAGACCTCATCCTCTCTGATGGCCATTCCTAAAAATTCTAGTTTCTTTAACTTGCCTGAACTTTCATCTCTGCCTCCTTACTTTAGTGAGACTCTCAGGTCTGTGGGGACTTTTTCCGTCTTGCACTGTGGCCTGGAAACAGCCATCGGCAGAAGCTAGGGCAGTCTTAGGGCTCAGCTCCTTTCTTCCTCTCTTTTGGGGCCTTTTAATCCTACACTGTGCGTCTTGCCCAGTTTTTGAGTGTAGGATATAATCTTGACTCCTGTCACTCCATTATGGCCACAAGTGGACGTTTTAATTTGTAGAAAGTTAGGCAAAAATTTACTTGTAAGGAATTCTGAACCTGAACACAAATTAGAAAAATTGTTTTTTCTTGAAATTGCTGTTTAATTTGATTTGAATCAGTAAAGATCGGGTGTGTTCTATTTCAGACATTGATACTCTGTTGGAATAAATTATCTTCAGCATTTACAAGTAAGTAGGGTTAAATGTGCATCATAAATATTCATGAGGAATTGATGTGGTATCCAAGTGGGTTATAACAACACCCAGAGTGCTCCAGATTTCATTTGAAATAAAATATAGCCAAGATGTTTCAATAATACCAGTGGGAAACAAATCTAATTACCTGATATGAATATCAGATCGTTTATATTCATTTACTCATCTGATCCACAAACACTGAGTACTTAAAGATAAATAAGACATAGTTTCTGCTTCCTGTGAAGGTCATAGTCTATAAGAGGAAATATACATACAAACGATTACCCATAATATGGTAGGATATAGTAGGATTGCAGGATAAGAACATTAGTTGAGGGATATATAAAGTGCCACAGAAACACAAAAAAGTTGAAAAGGGCAGGAAATTAAATTAATAAAAGACATCACCTCCCATTGTTAGGGGAAATTGGTAGCTATTTTAAAATATAGCACACCAATTAGGGGACTGTTTTTTACAGCCCGGATGTTTAACAGCCCAGTGATTTACCTTGTTTCTTCTAGCTTATCGCCTACATACCAGAGATAGTGAAGTGCTCTGCTTTCTGCTCCTGTAAATTATCTCCCACTTTGGTCTGAAGGACAGGCCTCCCCCTCGCTCTATTCTCCCTGCTCTATAAAACGGCTGCTTTCCCTTTGTTCAGGGCTCAGAATTTGGAGACTGACTCTTATGAGCCTGTGCACGTTAATAAACCTCGTATTCCAGAAACCCTTGGTGTCTGGTTGCTTCATTTTCCTGCAACACCATCATCTATTCATTTATTCAGTTAATGTCAGTAGGCACCAGCAGTGTGCTCTGCATGGTGCTAAGGCCCCACAGTACAATTCCTCCTCTAGGAGAGAGAGACATTGCTAATAATCGCAATTCAGTGCAATAGGTGCTATGGCTGAGATGTGCACAGGGAGCTGCAGAAAGGGAGAGGAGGGGCACTTCAGTCCAGAGGCAAGTGATCAAGGACTGCCTCTAAGTGAGACTGAGCCCCATACGGGAAAAAGGCTTGTGACAGAGAGCATCGCCATTCAGGAATCATCAGGTGCACAGTGTGGCAAGAGCATGGGATTCAAAGAAAAACTACTGGGTAAATAGCTAGAGGGCAGGTCGGGCAGGTCTTTGAGGGCTGGTTGTGTTTTCCTAGAGCATTTGGAGGAAAATGGGTAGTCTTTCTCTGTGTGTGTGTGTGTGTGTGTGTGTGTGTGTGTGTGTGTGTGTGTGCAGAATGAGACTGATAGATTTATGTCTTAGGAAGTTCACTCCAGTGATAGATGGAGGGAAGTGAAACTGGAAACAGAAGGGCCAGCCTGAAAGCTAAACTGATTCAGTAATCCAGGAAATAAATACATAAATGATAGAGCCCCGGTGAGGGAGAAGTGGAGGGACTGGAGACAAAGGGGTAAGGATAAGGAGTGGGGAGTTATTTAGCAGATACAACAAATGGTTTGGTGCCTAACTGGATGATGTGCAGGGTGATGGAGAGGATTGAGTCTATGATGACTTCCAATTTTCTGACCTCTAGGGCTAATTTTATCATTGGGGCCTATGACCTCTAAGGGGTTTGCATACCCTGGGGAGAGCTCAAGGCAACCCAATGGAGTGAAAGAAAAAGTAGCAGGATTTCATTTATACTTTTCTGTTTTTTAGTTTCTATTTGCATGTGTCTTACAAAGCAGACAATAAACTTATACAGTAGCATTTGTACATAATTTATGGGGAACTTGAGGTGCCTATAGAACATTTAGGCAGTAATTTCCAGCGGCAATAAGGGTCTAGATCAGACAAGACTGTGCAACAGAATTCACTGAGGTCATGGAAATACTAAATATGTACTGTCCAGTGTAGTAGCCAGTAGCTACATATGACTATTGAGCACTTGAAATATAACTAGTGCAGCTGAGGAACTGAAAACATTATTAATTCATTTAAATTTAAATAGCCACATGTGGCTTATAAGGGTTACCATTTTGGAGAACACAGATATAAACTTAGAAGAGAGACCAGGCTTTCATTTACTCTGTGCGTTACTGGCTAAGCATGTGACACACACTGTTGGGCAATTCAGTCACCCCACCTGCCCTGCCGAGTAGACAGTTCCGTACAGGCACAACTCAGGGGTACCGCGAGTGCGGTTCCAGACAACTGCAATAAAGGGGGTCACAGGTTTTTGCCAGTGAAAGGTTTTTGCCTTCAACTTGTAAAAAGCACATCTGCACAGTTCAGTAAAGTGGAACACTATAAAGTGAGATGTGCCTGCGAAGAAGAGTAAGTTCTTCCTTTATCCTTTTGATAGTAAAGGTTTATATTGCAAAGAAGAGCATATTTGCTTTGAAGTATGAGTACTTTCTATATATTCTCTATTAGAGAATATTTATTTGCCTTTCATAACCAAGTGACAATTTTATATTTTTCTTTCAGGTGGTTTGCTCTGTTAGAGATTGAAATATGTATTATTTTATTATTTTATTATTATGACTGTAGTCTTCTAGATCCACTGCCAAAACAGGTAAGTGTTCTCAGAATTTTGAAGAGTGTGACTTTCAAATTTGATAGAAACTCTCATCCCTTGGTTTTAATTACTAGAGATGCCCTACTGGTTTCCTCACTTAGCCTGATTTTAACAGGCGCCTTACATTGAGGCAGACTGAGAAGACCCTCCCTTCTGATCTAATCTATGGGCTCCATCATCACAAGACTGGGACCTAATGGCAGTGTTGCCACCACTTAGTGCCAGAACCTCTTCTATGAATTTACCAGCTTTAACTCCTTTTCCTGGGTTAAATAAACATGGCCTTGATGTTGAACTTGTGTCCCTAGCAAGGTATGTTTGTGAGTCTAAAAGTGAACCATCAGTTTTGGACGCAAGTCATAGCCCTTGGGCCAAATCTAAACCAACAATAAAAACAGTGAACAAAAATGAAAAGGCCGTGACATTTTCAGCCTCTGACCGTTGAGTGTTCTGGTCATTTAACTCCTCCGTTTTCTAGAGTTCTGTTCTCCTAGACCAACGGCTCTCAAGCTGGTGGGAGCATTAGAATCACCTGTGGGTCCCCTTAGACTACAGCCTACTGGGCCCCACCCCTAGATTTTCTGATCCGGTAAGTGGGAAGAGGGTAGAGAATTTCTATTACTAACAAGTTCTGGTGCTGCTAATGCTGCTGCTCTGGACAGTTGGAGGACCACTGTCCAGGGAAATAAAGGGAAATGCAATTTAATTCCAAATGTTTGGAAGTCATTTTGAAAACTCTGGGGAATAGGAGCTATTTAAACAGAGGGTGAGGCTCAGGAATTAAGCATTGCAATCGCAGGGCTATTCACATAGCATGTTGTGCTTTGGTTTATCCTTGATGTAACAAAGCTGATATATGGGGGGTAAATGAAACTCCCGGGTGGCATTTCAATAGAAATTATGTAAGTACATAAGTGACGCAGACAGTATTGTATTAGTCACAAAGGAACATATTTCAGCACTTTCCCTTGATTTCTCTTGTACTTCTATTTTGAGAACAAGTAACTATCAGTCACAAGGAGCTCTCAAAATCCTACAGCAAAAGGGAATCAAAACACCCTTCCTGAAGATTTTCAGCTGAGTACAGTATCATTAGCAAAATGAAAATTAGGGCCAAGCTTTATAGACACCAAGTACTAGTCCCTACTACCCCAGGTTAGATGTCAAAATTTTGCCCAGGACTGACTCAGCGTTCAACTATCTTCCCACCAGCAAGACGCAGAAATACCTTTTCAGGTGAGAAGAATGATGTTTGTCAAAACCATGTGACACCTACCTAACACTAGAGATGAGGGATTTTGACCAGATCTTTAAGCAAGATTTTTCCAAACACTTTCTTCCTAGCTAAGAATTCCGTTACTTGCTGTACTATACTGTTTTACATATGTCCTGTTTTTGTTTTGATACTACCAAGAACATTTTTTCAAAGAAATACTATCTCAGTTTGTCACAAGTATAGGTCTACGTGACTTCTCATGATCTCAAAGGGCATTTCATTTCATTAATTCTTGTTCTAGAAAGAGAAAAGTCAATTAAATTATTTTAATTATTACACTTGTTTTATTGGAATACTAAGTTGTAAAATGAGGTGATCAAAAACTGGGGGAATGATCTTCAAATTACCAAGTTCTTGCAGGCCCTGCGAGGGAATGGGTTACCTGGGCATGTTCTGAATACTCCTCTTTCTACACACAAAATTGTGGCTGCAATTTCAGAGTCCACGGAAACCCTGCACTCATTCTCTCAATTCCCCTAAAAGTGTCCTTGCTAAGGAGCCCATTCTGTGCTTAGTTGCAGTCAAACCAGACAGTAGACTGATGAGTGAAATTGGATCGATCTCCCCCTCAACCCTCAAGGTTGACAGAACAGGTTGCTTTTCCTTTTCAGGCTTTTAAGTCTCAAGAATCTCTGTATTACTTGCAATAAGCTGACCTGCTCTCTTCTCCATATACATTCGTTCTTAATTCATAACTAGGGAGAAAGAATCAGAATATTCGCAGCCCATAAAATATACTTTTGGAAGTTATCATCTTTGGCATATTGTAATAGTGATTCATTCATACCACCACCACCTCGTTGCTTTTTAAACATCCATAACATGTGGCATAGAGGTCTCACCAGCAATTAAAAATGAGCTGTTGCGTGCAGGGCCGGAAATGTAGGAAGAAGCCTTACTTGTGGTACCCTCTTTAGCCAGACAAAGTGAAGGGAGGGTGGCAGGTGAAACAGTGATGGGATTGCCATTAGAATAAGGGATTGCCTTCTCTTCTGCCCCTTGAATGGGAGACTCACATAGATGAAACTCATCAAGCAAACACTCCCAATCTTGTAAATCCAAACTCTGCACCTTTTAGGATTAATTATGATATAATTGGATAAACCTTAGATCTAAAACTACTGGCTTTGTCTCCTAATTTCCAAATGTCTTCTGCCTTTCTGCTTCTAGCGTTCTCTCCATTTGCTGGGTGTCCAGCAGCCAGAAGGACAATGCCGAATTGAATATAAACGGAGAAAATGACCCCTGGGCTAAGGAGGGCCAGGCCTTCCGGAGGAGTGACTGCCCCTCATCCACTAGCCTGGCAGCACCTAGGGCTGAGCGTGACCAAAAGAAGCTGCTGAACTTTGCTTTAGTATTTAGTTCCAGAAGAGGGCCACATGGTGCCTGTGTTTGTAATCTCAAGGGTAGACCAAGAATCTGACATCACTCTCACCTGATACAAAGACCTGAATATGTGGTTTACAGAAAATATTATCTGGTCCAGGGGAAGAGGCATTTCTTAAGAAGCTGGAATTTGCTTCATTCAAAACCATATTTTAACTTTACACAGAAATAATACCATTTGAATGAAAACCTTAATACATTAATTCTGTGAAGACACTGCACTTAGATTTCTGTTTTTGGAAAAGCTAGCATCAAAAAATATTCAGTAGTGATTTCTGGAAACTATTTTTCTTAATATAATTCTTAATTAGCCATTGGAATTATTAAGCTCTATTAATATAATTCTTTATTGTAAACAGGTCTAATGTTCAAAGTATAGCTTTCTAAGACCTGTGAAGACAAGAAGCATGTCTTCCAGTCATTTCTACACCCAGCCACATGGAGGACAGCACCTTGTCTATAAGGCATGTTTAATAAATGTATGTAGATTGATATATTGATTTGTATTTTAATTAAGGTGAAAGCACTCTTTTAACACAAGGTGTTTGTAATGACAGTTTAAGAGGACATCTTTGCTAATCTGTGGGAATACAATGATGTGTCAAGGCCAATAGCAACATTTGACTGTTACTTGCCTTATGCTTGAAATATTTACTGCGAAACCCAGAAAAGAAATTCTCTCGTGTTCAGGGGAAGTATATCACAGTAATAACAGGGTGATCAGTGATGTCATGATTTGTCCTCTAATATGCAATAAAACACTGCTTGCCTCCTTTATTTCACAAGTAAGCTTTGTAGTGAGTGTATGTTGTCCTCTGGATTATTTGCTTCCTGTGCTAGAATTATCTCATGGGGCTGGCAATGATTGCTTAGTCATTTATTTCCTACCAATGAGCAGATGACTCCCTAGGAGAAAATTAAGTACTTTGGTGTATATTAACTCTTCCAGACTAATAGTGATTTTGAAGCTTAGCTAGCAGCTTGTGGCTCAACTTAGCAGGCGTAGGGGTTTGGAGACCGAAGGGGCTGAAGAAAGTGCAGAAGCCCACAGCAGATCTGAGAGTTGCAGAGTATAATCTGGCAAATTCCAGTGACTGTGGCAGGTGTGTTCCCAGGGAAGGCTCACAGTAAAACACTGTATTTGCATATGATACACACTTCAGCTGAATTTGCAACCACTCGGGGCTATGTTCTATCATTATTGCTTGCTCAGGACGAATGTTAGCTGACAAGTTTATGCACGATAAAAAGAATGCACCACCATTTAGTTCTACAATTCTGTCAGTAAATACATGAACTCTTTATTCTGGGAAGCCAAATAAAGATGAAGATGTAATCTGTGTCCATTTCCTTCCTTGTAACAAGGAAAAAGAGGGTTAAGATTTTTTTGTTTTGTTTTGTTATTTTATAATCACTTGTGCCACAACAGCTGTTGCCACAAGGATGCTCTGCATCCAGGTGACCTCACATTGTGTTAAAACACAATGAAAACTGCATTCAGAATTCCATTCTCTTTACCTGGCCGACACTGCTGCCACCCTCACACTCCCCCGCTAGACTTGTCACTCCACCCCTAACCACTTGTCCTCTGAAACTTTAAATCAAGGCAGTCTGCCCTCTCTCCAGAGCCTTGCTCCCTCCTAGTTCTCTCACTCATTTCTCACAACACTTACTTCTCAGCTTCCGTGGAAGCCTGGCTCTCCAACTATTTCTTATCAGACTTCTTCCACCTCCACTCCCTCCTCTCTCCAACAGATACTCCTTAGGTGACCTCCATGACCTAATCACCTCCTGAAGGCCCGGCCTCCTCATTCCATCAACTTTGGGGATGAAGATTTGAGCATAAATTGCGGGGTTGCGGCGAGGTGCAAACATTCAGGCCATGGCAGGAAGTAATCCTCCGCAGTGGTTTTGCTTTCTCAGTAGAGTCCGCTACGTGTTTTGCTCCAATGGAGGACCCTGGGCAGCACTCACCCACAAGGTTCAGGTGAGCCCTCTGCTCAGGGACCCGCTCTTCCTGGTGAAGCAGCCTGAAAGTCAAGTCTACAGGTGGGTGTGGACCAGCACACCGGGCTTGCCTTAGATCAATACCTTCAGTTTAAAAATGTTTTTAGGAAAGTCTCTATCTTTATTAAATATTGGGCTTAGGATAATTTTCAAAAACGTATTAGAGTTTTGTTTGTTTTACAGTCATCTTTTGGTATTTTAATAAATGGCTGTAGGTTATTACTGACAAAAGTACAACTTTATGGCCCTGACCGGGTAGCTCAGAATGTTAAATCATTGTCCCAATGCACCAAGGTTGCAGGTTTGATTTCCAGTCAGGGCACATATAAGAATCAAACAACAAATGCATAAATAAGTGAAACTACAAATAGATGCCTCTCTCTCTTTCTCTCTCCCTCTCCCTTTCCTCTGCCTCTCTAAAATAAAAAAAAAATAAAAAGAGTGCAACTTTAGCCCCAGCTGGTGTGGCTCAGTGGATTTAGCACGGGGCTGTGAAGCAAAGGGTTGCTGGTTTGATTCCCAGTCAGGGCACATGCCTGGGTTGCAGGCCAGGTCCCCAGTAGGGGACACATGAGAGGCAACCACCCACTGATGTTTCTCTCCCACTCTCTTTCCCCTCCCCTCTCTCTAAAAATAAATAAACAAAATATTTTTAAAGAGTACAACTTTATGTATAAGCTGTTTGTTTTCTTAACCAAATGCCTACTTTCTAGAAACCAATGATATGACCTACATTACAAATTAAGAGGACAAAGACTCCCATTGTGTACCAGTTTCCTTCCTCATCAGCTTTCTTCTCCAGGAGCCCCCAACCCCTTCCCCTTTGTGGGAACCGTGCAGTAGCCCAGAACAAAACCTAGCAGATGACTGGTTCAAGAAAAACACCTGATAAAAATGCATATTTTTAGTAAGGGCATATAAATGTAAATGTTGAACACGTTATATGTTCTGATGATATATCATAGTATGCATTGTCTGTTCCTAGAAATTGGCTTTTTTTCCCCAGCAGTTTTCTGCCTTGCTCCTTCACAAAAATAGCCCTGGTCATTAGAGACTCCCTCGGCCATTGGGTAAGGAAGATGTATGGATTTTCTCTTCTGGTGGAGACAGGAACTTACTGAATAGGGGATAGTCTTAGTTTAAGCTTTCTCTTCCAGGGACTTGAAATTCTGGGAAGAATTACAAAACAGGAACCTAAAGGAAAGCCTGTAGTGTTTGCTTCACAATGCGGAAAACCCCTTCGATTTCATTGTTGCTGCTTAAGATAAGCATGATTAGAATCATAATATGTAAGTAGAGATGCCACCAGCCTAACATCCAGATTTACTGCTTAAGAAGCTGAAGTCCAAGTTGGACTTTGAGCATCAGGTTTTGTGCCCTGAAGGGTGTTCAGTGACTAGTGAAACCATCCCTCTGGGTGAGACCATTCACCTGAATGATTCTTTGAGGACAAAAAAATGAAACACATGATTGAATTTTATTTCTTCTGGCAGCACAACTTTTCTTTCTATAGCACATTAATTTATAGATTACCCAATATAAAAGCAGATAAAAGATGATAAATTCAGTTCAGCATTTAGTTGACTATTCTTCCTTGTTTGCAGAACTAATTACACACCTCTGCAGAGCCCAGGGGTCAAAGAGGCACATTCTGAAAAGCACTGGACCAGACTAGCTCTGTGCAGCAGGGACATCTACTACCCTCCAAATGTTAGGTGCTTCCCCAAATTCCCCAGGGCCTGGACAGTTACCTGTGATCACATGACCCATTTGGCTAATGGGCTGTAAGCAGAAATGGTTAAGTGTCAACTCTGAGCTGAAACACAGATATCTGGATATAAATTGTCTTTATTTCCTCTTCTGATTGTGGCAGAGGAGCTCTGCAGCCATGAGAAGGCAGAGCTCTCATCAGCCTGGGTCCTGAGTGTCAGAGAAGAGGCCTTTCCCACAGTCTGCGCTGCTCACAGTTTGAGCAGCAGACATGAGGCAACCTACACAATCTCAAATGAAATTCTCTGGTTCCTGTTCTTATTTATGCTGTTAGTCCTCTTTGATCTGATCTTATTAGCAGGAATGCATACTTCCAATATGCTTCATACCAGATCAAGAGTGTGACTGGATTCTACTGAAATGGCTTTTTGATATCCAATATACAATAACATTTATAAGCCAGTCAAAGAAAGACAGATACCATATCATTTCACTCATATGTAGAATCTAATGAACAAACTGGACTAACAAGCAAAATAGAGACAGACTCACAGATAGAGAGCAGGATGACAGCTAAGGGCGAGTGGAGGGTAAGGGGTGGAAGGATTGAGCAAAAAGGACAAAGGACTCATGGACACAGACAACAGTGTGGTGATTGTGGGGAGGGGAGGGGTGTACAAGGGGACCAAGTGGTAATGGAAAAAGTACAATAAAAATTAAATTAAAAACTCATAACATTGCATTCAGAATTCGACTTTAGCTGTTTGTTGTACTGTGTTTTGTGCCTTGCTTATCACAGCTAGAAGCCCTGGAGCCTGTGTGTCCCCACCCAACATTCCCTCTGCTCAGGTCTCCATCAGACTGGGTCTCCAAGGCTCAGGCATCTCACTCTTTGGCAGCCCAATGGAAGCCCTTCCTAGTTAGGGAGTCCTCTCTTCACTCTGTGCTTCTCCAAGCTTTGCTGCAGTGCCCCTGAAACTCAAGTCTCCTTGTTCTTTAAGAGTTGACCTTGATGTCCCATAAAACCCACAACCTAGCAGAATTTTAAGGACAGAAATGGCTTAAACTTAAAATTTTTGCCGGAAATGATGAGAAATAATTATATTTCATCCTTGTAGTGCAGCAAAGGAATGAAGAAACAGAGTAGGCGATTGCACTGTTAGAGCATTCTGGAGGTTTATATATCTTAATATAGTGATGCTAATGTTACCGAACAACAAGAGGTCCGAGGGAGGGGCAATACAATATTCGGCCCACCTAGGGATGCCAAAAACTGCTATACAACAGGGGCCCCTCCCGAAAACAAAATACTAAAATCTACTGGGCCCTTCTGTCCGCCGCCAATTGGAAAGACATCTCTTAATGCCAGAGATTTGTGAAAAGGAAACAAAATGTTTATTTAATGCTATTCAGGCCTAATGCCTCTACTAAAATATCAAAGTCCTTTAGGGTATACACCTACACCCACACAGCGCTCCCTTCTCCCACTGTCCCAACTCCGGGTACCGTAAATCAGGAAAAGAACACATGTCCTTTTTTCAGGCCACTGGCACCATCAGCTGTGTCTCTGTGCAGGATCTCGAGTTAATCCAAAGTACTGTGGTACCCTCTCATGGTCCACTGGCAAGAGTCCTTTGTACCCAGTTCCAGTCAAAGTCTCTCTTGCTTTTCAGGCCCCGCAGCCAAAGGGGGCACCCCAAAGCCGCGTGGGCCTCTTCTACCAAAGCTGCAGGAGTCCGCACTCCACCAAAAGCATGTGGCTTTCTTCTTCACCTGGCTGCAGGGAATCTCCATTCTGGCAAAGCTGCGTGGTTTTTCCCTTTCACCTGGGAAAGAGGGGGTCCACACCCTGCCAAAACCACGTGGCTCCCTCTTTCACCTCACCAAGAGGGGGTCCTTACTCTGCTGAAACCGCGTGGCTCTCTCTCTCTCATCTGGCCAAGCGGGGACCCTTCGTGTCCTGGAGCCAGTCTTTTCCAAGCTCTCATCTAGGCGCTCTCACTCAGGAGCGCAGCCCCTTGTTACATTCTGAGTCCAAGCCCTTCTCACTCCGGAGAGCAGACCTTAG